ACAAAAGTGACTGCACCCAATATCCTTTCTCGGTTCCCCCAGTTTAGCCACGGACCCAACCATTGGGTGAAATGCTAGTCCACCTCTGAAGGTGCCATCCTGCTTTTGGGGGTGTCACAGGGGTGCTACAGATAAATGACAGGCTATGTATTATGACCAGTGTTTGCTGATACCCAAACAGACAGTACTTGTGTAGGAACAGACCATTCTCTCACCTGACTCCTCCGTCCAGAAAACTTTGTCCACCAGATGGTATTCTTCCTGCTTTGTATAAAGTTTGATGAGTATCTTATACCAAGTGGATGGCTGTAGATTGGTGAATGTCCCACCTTTATCATATAAATATTGACATGATCGATGATAATTAAAATCTGAACTACGACAGCATTCCCAGTAAATCTCCAGGTCTGAGGACAATTGAGGAGTGCAGGAGATCCGGTAGCTGATACTGGTTGAGGTGACCCTCCCATCCATCATTGTGACTCCTGACAAAGACAACATGGAGACATTAAACTCTCAGAGATAAAATATAATACAGAGAAGATATCCGATCTCCATTATACCAGCAGGATTTCTCAATACCGGGATCTGAATTTTGCAGTCCGTTCATAAAAACTGAATCTGTGGAAGTTAAAGGAGTTCTCCCCGATTAACACAGTAGAGAGCTCTGTGATTGGAGGAGAGCCCACTAAAGTCAAATCACGGGATTCTCATCATGGCATTTTTTTTACAATCCCATTCCTTTTTAGATTTCCCAAAGGCTCCGGCTATGCACATTTATAAACCACCACACTGCTGATCTTCATAAATGTACGGAACTCTTAAAAAAATCCATCATGGCTGTGATACAACCACACCGGCTTCTAAATGGACCTCGGTGTCTTGTCATTAGTGATGGCCTGTTGGGTTCACGACGATCGAACATTCAAACTTAATGAAAGTTTGACCACGAACTTCAAACTTAATGCAAGTCTATGGGACTCGAACTTGTAAAAGTGCCCATTTTGAAGGCTTATATGCAAGGTATTGGCCAAAAAAGTGATATGGGGACTTGGGTACTGCCCTGAGGGACATGAATCAGTGAAATATTTTTTCAAAAAGTATTGTTTTAAATGGGCAGTCATTTTTCATTGTGTAAAGTAAAAAAAAAAAATTAAATTAAAATTCCTTTAAATATCATGCCTGGGGGGTCCAATTAAACTACCTGCAAAGTTGCACATTTGTACAATGTATAGAACCTGCTGCAGGACTGATATATTTTTTTGTTTTGTAATAAAAATGTAATTTAAAAAAAAAATAACAGTGTTAGGGCCCCCCAATCTGTACACCAGACTGGTAGGAAGGTTAGGAGGGACCCCACAGTAGTTTTTTTTTTTTTTTTTTAGTGTCTGGGGTCGCCCCTTAAAGCCATATCAGGCTCTTTAGGCCTGGTAGGACTTTTATGGGGAATCCCACCCCCAAAAACTGGGTGTAAAAAAGCGTAGCAGACCCTTGATCCGAGCATAGGCCTGGCAGGCCAGGAAAGGGGGGGGGGGGAAAGTGAGCGCCTCCCCCTCCTCAACCGTGCCATGAAACATGCCCTCTACATGGGGGTTGCTTTTGATTAGGGGCAAGGGCTTCTTCCCCACAACCCTGGGCTGTGGTTGTAGGGGTCTGCCGGGTGTGACTTATTGGAATCTGGAAGCTACCTTTAACAAGGGGGGCCCCCAGATCCCACCCCCACTTTATGAAAGAGTATAGTGTACATAGCACCCCTACCCATTCACCAAAAAAGTGTAAAATATGAATAAAAAACACAACAGTTTCTGACTTCTGAAGTCCTTTATTAAAAAAAAAAAAAAAGCCCAAAAATTGTTCCATGGTTGTAATCCACAGCATGTAAATCACAGCGTCCAGCGTATTCACAACAACTCCAACTTACTAAAATAAAAAATAAAAACAACGCCCACTGACCCATCGCACCCGCTGAGCACTTGCCGCTATCTGATATTTGCAGGTCAGATTTAAACAATTGGGTGGAGCTAACGGTGACATCACTGCTAGCTCCACTCAACAATCTGAATATTTATGTTGTCTCGGCCAATCCCTGGGGAAGGATGCCCAGTGGGTGGCTGGGGAGTGCATAAATAGGTGGAAGTCTGGGGCAGCCCAGTTCTTGTCTAGGAACCTGAAAGGCTGCTGCCCTTCCAGGCAGCCCAGCTGAAATTCTATCTGTGCTCATCAAGGTCCCAGCTATGCTAAGGATCCTATTTGCTGACAGTAAGATTCCTAGATTAGTTCCAGTGATCTGAGGCTTTGGTCTGAAGAATTTATTGGGGAAATGTCTGACTGATATTGGAAGGAGGCATCCAAGTATCCGGGATGCTATCTCCTGTGCCTCAGTGGAAGAGTTTGCCTTGCCTGGGATATTTCTGATGGTGTCTCAGTGCTGTCCAATTTCTGGGCAAATACTAAAGCAACTGTTCTAAGGAGCTGTGCCAAAGTGAAGAGAGTTCTCTTATTACTGTTCCATTTTACTGGAGTATTACACGGCTTCCAATGTCCTATTCAAGTTTATTTAGCAATAAATAAAAAAAGGTAACCCCTAGACCAGGGGTCTCTAATCTTTACAAACAAAGGGCCACTTTGCTGTCTTGATTATGGAGGGCAGACTTTGCTCGATGGAAGTAGAAAATGTTTTGGTAGCAGTGGATATAACCAATGCCCTACCATTGGTATCAGTGAGAGGAAAAGTTCCTCTTCATTGGTATCAGTGGGAGGAATAGTGCCCAAACATTGGCATCAGTGGGAAGGATAGTGCCCCATCATTAGTGTCAGTGGGAGGAATAGTGTCCCATCATTGCTGTCAGTGGGAGGAATAGTGCCCCATCATTGGTGTCAATGGGAGGAATAGTGCCCCATCATTGGTGTCAGTGGGAGGAATAGTGTCCCATCATTGGTGTCAGTGGGAGGAATAGTGCCCCATCATTGGTGTCAGGAGGAGGAATAGTGCCCCATCATTGGTGTCAGGAGGAGGAATAGTGCCCCATCATTGGTGTCAGTGGGAGGAATAGTGCCCCATCATTGGTATCAGTGGGAGGAATAGTGCCCCATTATTGGTATCAGTGGGAGGAATAGTGCCCCATTATTGGTATCAGTGGGAAGGATAGTGCCCCATCATTAGTGTCAGTGGGAGGAATAGTGTCCCATCATTGGTATCAGTGGGAGGAATAGTGCCCCATCATTGGTATCAGTGGGAGGAATAGTGCCCCATTATTGGTATCAGTGGGAAGGATAGTGCCCCATCATTAGTGTCAGTGGGAGGAATAGGGCCCCATCATTGGTAGGGATAGTGCCCCATCATTGGTATCAGTGGGAGCAATAGTGCACCATCATTGGTGTCAGTGTGTCAGGGCTCCCGGGTGTGACCAGAGGTGTGTGACTGACACAGGGAAACGCAGACTTCAGATATGTTATAAACAATGTAATTTATTGACACTAACAATACAAACATAAACGCAGTGCAATACTAAAACATAATACAGTGCAAACAAACCAAACCAAACCACCCACAGATAACAGTACATACAGTGCAAGCGTCGTCAGGCAGGCCGGGTCAATATCGTGCGGGCAGCGTGGTACAGGGGGAGCAAGCGGAGAATAGTCAGGTCACGAGCAGGGTACAGCAACTAACAGGCAGGTAAGTACAGGGGGTAGGCAGAGAATGGTCGGGGTCACAAGCCAGGGATCAGAACAGGAGAAGTCAGCAGAGGTCAGAATCAAGCCGGGTCAGCAACAAGACAGGAACAGGGACAGGGACAGGATGCAGGAACAAGATACAGGGCCCAGGAAAAACACAACACCAAGGCAGAGTCTGCGGGTCTGTCCATCCCTTAAATACCCCAGCATAATCAGTTCCAGGTGTTAGCTGGCTGCAAAGTTGAGTCTCTGATTGCTAGGAGCACCCGCTGGCCAGCCCTGGTACTGCAGATCAAAAGGCAGGTGAGTCCCACCGTTGCTGACCAGTCCATTCCTGACAGTACCCCCCCCTCAAGGAGCGGCCTCAGGACGCTCCAAATAGTCCTAGCTGGGCAAAATGTTCCACCGCCCGGGTCTGGTAACTGGCGGGATATCAAAGACTGGCACACCGGGCAGGACTCCGGGCAGCGGCACACCGGGCAGGGGCACAACGGGCAGGGGCACATTGGGCAAAGGCACACCGGGCAGAGGCACATCGGGCTGGACTCCGGGCAGAGGCACATCGGGCTGGACTCCGGGCAGAGGCACATCGGGCAGGACTCCGGGCAGAGGCACATCGGGCAGGACTCCGGGCAGAGGCACATCGGGCAGGACTCCGGGCAGAGGCACATCGGGCAGGACTCCGGGCAGAGGCACATCGGATTACCAGGCGAAGCAGCAGGCACAGCGGGCCACCAGGCGGAGCAGCAGGCACCGGGCGGGGCAACAGGCATCGGGCCCCCGGGCGGGGGGCGACCGGCATCGGTTCCCCAGGCGGGGCGACCGGCATCGGGCCCCCAGGCAGAGCGGCGGGCGCCGGGCCCCCAGGAGGGGCGACAGGCATCGGGCCCCCAGGCGGGGCGACAGGCGTCGGGCCCCCAGGCGGGGCGACAGGTCTTGGGCCCTCAGGCGGAGCGGCGGGCGCCGGACCCCCAGATGGAGCGACAGGTCTTGGGCCCTCAGGCGGAGCGGCGGGCGCCGGACCCCCAGGTGGAGCGACAGGTCTCGGGCCCTCAGGCGGCGGAGCGGCGGGCGCCGGACCCCTAGGTGGAGCGACAGGTCTCGGGCCCCCAGGCGGAGCGACAGGTCTCGGGCCCTCAGGCGGAGCGGCGGGCGCCGGACCCCCAGATGGAGCGACAGGTCTCGGGCCCTCAGGCGGAGCGGTGGGCGCCGGACCCCCAGGTGGAGCAACAGGTCTCGGGCCCTCAGGCGGAGCGGCGGGCGCCGGACCCCCAGATGGAGCGACAGGTCTCGGGCCCCCAAGCGAAGCGGCAGGCACCGAGTCACCAGGCACGACAGTGGGCTCCGAGTCAACTGGCATGACCGCTGGCACTGGGTCAGACATTGAATCGTCTGGCTGGACAGCGGGCATCGGGTCACCAGGCATCAGGTCATTTGGCTCGACAGCGGGCACCGCGTCATCTGGCAAGGCAGTGGGCTCCGAGTCAACTGGTATGACCGCGGGCACTGGGTCAGACATTGGATTGTCTGACTGGACAGCGGGCATCGGGTCACCAGGCATCAAGTCATTTGGCTCGACAGCGAGCACCGCGTCATCTGGCAAGGCAGTGGGCTCCGAGTCAACTGGCATGACCGCGGGCACTGGGGCAGACATTGAATCGTCTGGCTGGACAGCGGGCATCGGGTCACCAGGCATCAGGTTATTTGGCTCGACAGCGGGCACCGGGTCATTAGGTACCGGATTGTCTGGCTCGACAGCGGGCGTCGGGTCACCAGGTATGACAGCGGGCACTGGGTCACCAGGCATCAGGTCATTTGGCTTGCCAGCGGGCACCGCGTCATCTGGCAAGGCAGTGGGCACCGGGTCACCAGGCATTGGATCGTCTGGCTCGACATCGGGCATCGGGTCACCAGGTATGACAGCGGGCACTGGGTCACTAGGCATCAGGTCATTTGGCTCGCCAGCGGGCACCGCGTCATCTGGCAAGGCAGTGGGCACCGAGTCACCAGGTACGACAGCGGGCTCTGAGTCAATTGGCACGACAGCGGGCACCGGGTCATCAGGTACCGGATTGTCTGGCTCGACCGCGGGTATCGGGTCACCAGGTATGACAGCGGGCACCAGGTCATCAGGTACCGGATTGTCTGGCTCGACAGCGGGCATCAGGTCACCAGGCCTAATAGGATCGTCAGGCTGGATCAGTTCATCATGCTGGGTAGAGGCATCAGGCTGAATGCAGGCATCCGGCTGAGTAAAGGCATCAGGCTGAGTAGAGGCATCAGGCTGAGTAGAGGCATCAGGCTGAGTAGAGGCATCAGGCTGAGTAGAGGCATCAGGCTGAGTAGAGGCATCAGGCTGAGTAGAGGCATCAGGCTGAGTAGAGGCATCAGGCTGAGTAGAGGCATCAGGCTGAGTAGAGGCATCAGGCTGAGTAGAGGCATCAGGCTGAGTAGAGGCTTCAGGCTGAGTAGAGGCTTCAGGCTGAGTAGAGGCTTCAGGCTGAGTAGAGGCTTCAGGCTGAGTAGGGGCATCAGGCTGAGTAGGGGCATCAGGCTGCGTACGGGCATCAGGCGCGTAGGGGCATCAGGCTGCGTACAGGCATCAGGCTGAGTAGAGGCTTCAGGCTGAGTAGAGGCTTCAGGCTGAGTAGAGGCTTCAGGCTGAGTAGAGGCTTCAGGCTGAGTAGAGGCTTCAGGCTGAGTAGAGGCTTCAGGCTGCGTACAGGCATCAGGCTGAGTAGAGGCATCAGGCTGAGTACAGGCATCAGGCTGAGTACAGGCATCAGGCTGAGTAGAGGCTTCAGGCTGAACCACGGAAGGCAGGTTCACCGGTTTGGATACTGGCAGGATGGTATTGGTTGGAAAGAATTTTTCGCTTTTTTTCTGGTTTTAACTACTGGAGCACTGCAAGTAAACGCAGGTCTGCAAACGAATGGAGCACCTGGAGACAGAGAAGAGCTGGAGGATGGAACAGGGGAGGGAACAGTTGCTACAGAGGGCTTTTTTACAGGGTTAAAGGCAGGATAGATGCAGCGAGTGGGAACAGGGTACTGACATGCGGTAGATAGCCAAGTATACTGGGCTGTAACTGGAGGAGCTGTTGGGAATACAGGAGTAGAGCTTTGAGGAAATAGGTTAGAAGCAGGACTGGGTCTTTGTAAGCTGACTGAGGCTGGGTGCAACAAGTCTGTCCATGTCTGCAGTAGGGGTTGAACAAAGCTCAGCTTACACAAAGCCTGTCTGGTCAATGACTGCACTGCGTTTATACAATCTCTGAGTACCTGTGGTGAACATGTGGAATAACGCTCCAGAAAATAACCCACATCATCCTCTAATAACCACACCAGGGACTCTACCTGGTCGGCACTAAAAAAATTCATCCCTGCATTCGGGGGTACCAGATGAAACCAACTCAGCACAAACCTCAATCAATGGCTGCACCTCAGAGAACTCTGTGCCCTGATCTACTAGAACATGAGCGAGCCGTATACATTCTAGCAGTTCATCCCAGGTATACTCCTTCAGAGTTTGATAAGCATACTCCCTGTCATCAAACACTAGCAGATATAAATATGCAACCTCATCCAGATCCATCCTTCCCATCAACAAACCAAGATGGCTTCCCTGTGCAGCCACTTCTGGTCAGGATTGGCCTTGGTGTAATGTCAGGGCTCCCGGGTGTGACCAGAGGTGTGTGACTGACGCAGGGAAACGCAGACTTCAGATATGTTATAAACAATGTAATTTATTGACACTAACAATACAAACATAAACGCAGTGCAATACTAAAACATAATACAGTGCAAACAAACCAAACCAAACCACCCACAGATAACAGTACATACAGTGCAAGCGTCGTCAGGCAGGCCGGGTCAATATCGTGCGGGCAGCGTGGTACAGGGGGAGTAAGCGGAGAATAGTCAGGTCACGAGCAGGGTACAGCAACTAACAGGCAGGTAAGTACAGGGGGTAGGCAGAGAATGGTCGGGGTCACAAGCCAGGGATCAGAACAGGAGACGTCAGCAGAGGTAAGAATCAAGCCGGGTCAGCAACAAGACAGGGACAGGGCCAGGGCCCAGGAAAAACACAACACCAAGGCAGAGTCTGCGGGTCTGTCCATCCCTTAAATACCCCAGCATAATCAGTTCCAGGTGTTAGCTGGCTGCAAAGTTGAGTCTCTGATTGCTGGGAGCACCCGCTGGCTAGCCCTGGTACTGCAGATCAAAAGGCAGGTGAGTCCCACCATTGCTGGCCAGTCCATTCCTGACACAGTGGAGGCAATAATGACCCGTTTTTGCTTTCAGGGGGAGTAATAGTGACTTGTATCAGTAGAAGGAATAGTGCTTCATAGTTTGTGTGTCAGTGGGATCAAGAGTGCCCCATCGTTGGTGTCAGTGGGAGAAATAGTGCCCCAAGGGACGGATGAAGGCAAGCAAAGGGCCACATCCGGCCCTTGAGCCAGAGTTTGGAGACCACTGCCTTGAACTGTTCATTGAGCCAGAAAGAGTGACTATTGCTGTGTGTGCCTGGCTGTCATTGCACTACATTGGGCAAAGAACCTAAGGAAAATCAGCAGGCCTTATGGGGGTGAGTGCTACATATAGATGGGAAAATGCTGTCAGATACATTTAATGAATTTGAGTGGCAGTTGACTTCCGCCTGATCTTTGCATTCCCATAGACTTGTATGGGGGGAGAAGCGGTTTTCTGACATGAACAAAAGCTGATCAACACAGATCCTCAGGCCTCATTCACATTGACATTGTCGAACCTGCCTTTATATGTATTTAGAGGACATTTCTGATTGTATATATATATATGCATTTTCAGTGCTGTCATTCACACCATTCAAGGTCCTTTCCTGAGGAAGTTAGTTTTGATGAAACATGTTGAATGGAGTCAATACCATCTGCTGAGTGCTTATTCCTTAGGATGTACACAATGCTGAGCTATTCACAAAATTGGTGGAAGACACAGAGGAGTCATTGGAAACTTGTCTAAACATATTTTTTACCAAGCACATTCCATATGGGTCTTGGAAGATGAGGAATTGTTTAAGAGGGGATTCTTTTTTAAGATATACAGTACACAGTTTTATTTTCACTTACATTTGATTATTTCAGATTATGATTGGTAAAATTTCATTTTCGGATGTATAATCTCCATTATTGTTTGATAGTTTAAACCAGTGGTCTCCAAACTGCAGCCCAGTTCCTAAAGCTAGAATTCTAAAGTTAACAACATCATATAAATTGCCAAACATGGGCAATACAAGCCCCAGAGCATGGCTTGTTGTGATCTTAGTATCAGTATCACACCAGAAATATTGCACAGACACACAGCACATCATGTAGAGTGGGCTTTGTTAGAGTAAGAAACCAGAAAAACTTAATTGGTTAGCAATTGGACAGTATGTACTTGTTATATATATATACAGAGGGATATCTGCCAGACCTGATTTGGGATAAGCAAATCACAATGTCTTTTTTTTCTCATGCTGTATACCTAAGCAAATATAACAATTTGATACAGATGCCTTGAAGCCTTTTTGCTATTCCACTACTCCAAAGGGAGTGAGCAGGCAGAGTACATGTAAAAAAAAACAGCTGAACAGTTCCATCAGTGTGCCCTGTCCTGCATCCTTCCTGGCTGCCATCAGTCACCCAGTGGGCTGGGAACTATATATACACCTCTCAAGCCCAATTTACTGGACCATGTGTCTGTGGTCATGTGAACTTTACTACTGACCATGTGATCTAGTGACATGGAAACCTTGCCCTCCATATGCAGGTGAAGGAGAAAGTGATGGCAGCTGGGAACCTGCCTCTACAGTGCAGCACAGGCCACAGATTCCTGAAAGGGGCAGAATCCCCCAGCTAGAAAGACTTGTAAAGCAACAACTGGCTAAAGTGGTATTTAGGCGCTGGGCATGAGGGATGTATATTTTTTTTTTTTTTTTTTGCACTCCAGCAGCTGGGGCTGCATGTTTCAGCTGGGGAACAGATTGCAGCCCTGGTCCAATGCTGATGCTTTTCCTGACCAGATGAGCCATATGGTAGATCTCTAAAACCCATTGATATACTGTCATCTATCTTGGTAGAGGCTGCTGAGAAAAAATCGTGTATAATGGGGACAGAGGGGGAAAGGGAAGAGCTGAAAGGAGGAAGTAGAGGAGTGTGGCTGTAAGGAGAACCATAAATAGATAAGTGCTGCTTTATATATCCAGAATACAATCACAATCTCAATAAATCAATATGGTGACACCATCAGTAGTCCATAGAATTAGTGCAAATTGTGCAGACCCTTAACAGTGCCTGTGCTTATTCTTATTAAAGTGCCAATTTGTAAACTGTGCTCCCCGCCAGTGCACCAATTCTATGGACTATTGATGGATGTCACCATATTGAAATATTGAGATTGGGATTGTATTGTGCATATATAAGGCAGTGCTTATCTACCTGTGTTCATATACTGTAACCTTGAAGGACAGCACCCAATGTAGTAGCAGCAGCCAATATTTTTTATTTACTGCATATGTATTTGGTATTTTTATTTTATTTTAATTAATTTTTTGAACACTTTATCACGGAGGTATTTATAACATAATTTTCATTAATCCTGAGCACAGGATATAAACTTTTGTAAGCAGAAACCAACCTGTGCTCATACACAAAGAACACACAGAAACGCAAAATACATGAAGAAAAAAAACCCCCCAAACATCCTCCCAAAAACACTACAGGCAAAACAACACCCTTTTTTAATAAATAAAAAGAAAACTGCTAATATATAAAAGAAAAACTCAAATAAAAAAAAGGGGATAGAAACAATGCAGCAACAGAACCTGCTGACACACACACGCACGCACAAACACACACACACACACACGGGTCCCAGGAAATCATAATGAATTCAGGTGAGCTTCCACTTCACTCTCCATAGACACACAAACTGTGATTCACTGTAAAGCATCAGTATCATATACAATACAAGACATAGTGATACTGTATATGGCACCGATACTGTATATATAGCACAGGATATATTACTGTATATAGCAAAGGCTATGGTACTGTATATAGCAATTTCTATGGAAAGACATGAACACTGTTCAATATGTTATTTGATAGTGAATTGTGGGTACTACACAGTGAGGAGTCATTGGGGAAAGACCTTTCTGTGTTGGTGGTGATTTCTCACTAGAGAAAAGCCAATGTGTCTGCCGGAAGTGGGATCTCATGGGGA